TCAACTTTTGAATTGATAAAGGACCCACAAAACATGGATTCTGGTTACACCACGCGGTAAAGGATTTCCCCCCTAAATTTAGCAACTGGATTTATCCACGTTTTTGTTACCAGGCTCTGTTATGAGTTTTTCTGCCGAAAATTCCCCCTTTTTTTCGCGCAGCATTACATAACTTTCTCTTCTTAAGAAGTTCTTTCTTATGCGCGAGAAAGTAAAAATGACGTGTAGTATGATAATAGTCGGATGAAGTTTTTATACATAAAAGTGTATTTTATTTTAAAAAATTGTTTTTGTACTTTTTTGAACCATTTGAATTTATTTCTGTCATTAAAGATAATTATTACTGAACTTGTTTACAAATACAGAATTTCTACTGTGTTTTTAACAAGGGGGCCCTCGGTACTTGCCAATCTCTAGACATGCCACTGTCATTTACTTTATCATCACGCTACGTTGTCAGTTATTATTATTATTTGTCTCTTGCATTTGTTTTCCTTGGGCGCCCTTCCGATTCTTATTCCTTCTTTGTCTCAGAGACGCACGAAGCGCAAAGACCATATATGGGCGTGCCTTCATTGTGCAATGATATTTTTACATCTTTCGTCACAATGTTTTTTTGAAACTGCGTGAACTAAGAAAGCCAGGGATCTTTGGCTGCAAGGGACCGGGTGAGTTCCATGTTGATACTGAATCGGCGAAATGTGAAGTGGGTTGAAAATAATGAAACACATATTGAGTCCGTTTATTTATTCATGTCAGTTATATATTTATGCGGGATACAAGTTTACAAATTCAACGTACAAAGTCAACCACTCTTGGACTTGTTACATGAACGACCGCACAGAGGCCGCAATGGGAAGGGAAAGGGGTAGGGCAGAGGCGCAGGTATTGGGCCGAAACATCAGAGTAGGGGTGCTGAAAAGTGATGTTGGTAACAACGTGTTCGGTGTCTCGTGATGTCTTTCCTGGACCGTGTGTCTGCAGATGAGGGGAGTCCGAGAAAGTACGGGATGATGGTACACGATCATTACTCGTGATTGCCACGGGAAGGACGGTGAAAAGCTTGGATGGGAGAAGAATGAGTTGTTTGCCGATTTCATATGTGATTAATACTTTTATCATTACTCAAATTGACGTTAGAAACAAGATATTTGATACACTCTTACAAGATTTGGAATTTAGATAAAGGAGTGGGGGTGAATTTCCTGCTTTATGTGTTGCTGGGCAGTGATGGCATTTGTGCGTGATGCAGTATTAGTACAAATGTAATAGTTATGTCAAAGTTACTTCCTTAAAAATGTCCAAATTGTTAGAACTGCATAACTCGTGTGAAATGTATTAATTCTTAACAACGTGCTTTGTGTTGAGGTAACAATTCTGTTTCATTTACCATCTACATACTAAACAGAACTTAATGCGTATGTTATTCAGTTCATGGGTTGCGTCATCATTCAGCGAGGGGTTGGATAATGCTATACACAAACACCATCTACTAAGTGCAGTGATTTTTGTACATTTTCTGTTCTTTATTTTTGAAATCACACAAAAGTAAATATACATGAGTGGACCCCTTTGCCTATGCAGTAAAGTATATGGCAAAGTAGTCTATGTTCAAGGCCTCGATTGCCATATTGTTGCTGAACAGTGTTAAAAATCTGTATTAACAATTTCTCCTAAGCATACACTAAGTGCTCAGTCAGAAATTAAATTATTTTACATTTTTTCTTGCTTCTCCGTGATTAAAAAAACATCAAACATGATGACCGCCACTTGTTGCTCGCACAGTTTTCCATGCATTGTCATCCTCGTTTGTGTTTTTTTGCAATGCCTGCTTTACATTTTGATGGAAGCTGGTTTAATTTTTATTAGTTACATAGCAACATTTTCATTATTCAGAGACAGCAACATAGCCATCTGGCATAGCCTTTCAGTACAATATAACTTACTCTAACAATAGTGTAGATTGTGTTTTAGAATGGATCTGTTAATGATAGTATAAATGAACATAAACCTTCCTTTCCCCATGTACAAATACAATACATTTAGCATTGTTTATGGGATTAATAAATTAGTTTTCATTAATCCGTATTACTACACTGTCACACTTTGTAAAATCTATAATGTACACATTTGTGTCAAATGTATAACCACCAATAGCATTAACTAGGTCCAGGAGCATAATCCCGCCTACAAAATCCCACGATACTTAGGACTGCATCTTTCTTTCACACTGAAATACCTCGCACTGAAATTCTCAAGCCGACGAATAAAGAGTTCTGCCGATTTACTGAGAATTCGATTAACATTTTCCCACTTTCGCTTTTAATTACGTGTGGAACACATATTACATAGGTACTCATTCTATACAGATTACTTGCCCTTCCATAAGGGATTCAGCAAGATTTGAGCCAGTCCTTCATATGTATCTGACCACGTCTTCCAGAAATACCCCACTTTTATTTTTGTTTCAACTGTGTACACCCGTTTTCCCCGCCTTTACGCACACAATTTCACTACTAAGAAAGCCACATTTCCACACTGACATCTCTTGCTACTCGCACTTCGACGCATTCAACTGCTTTGTCTTCTTCCTCAATGTCTTACCATTCTAATCACAAGGTTGGTTTCTGACGGTAAGTCCCACATTCATATCTTCAATATAACAACTGCATTTTAATACCAGATCCCGAAGCAGCAGGGATAGAGGCACACTGCGTCCCTATTCATCAGTGTCTAAAACATGTTTGGTACGAAAATGTACACTTTAATCTTATGAAAATAGTCATGTCATTAGCCTATCGTCCGTCGTATAAATAGATGGACTTGAAAACTGAACACGATTCTTGTTTAGTGAACAATTCTTAAGCACATAAAGGAGTGATATAAATTCTCTAATAATTAGAACAGGAGCATGTGTTGAATGCACATGGACTGAAGTGTTAATACACTTCATAAGATAGGACGCAATATGCCCAAAACGCATCTGCAAGACACACGAACTCCGTTATATGGCATCCAAGAAGCATGGCTTTTATTTAAAGTAAAATCGTCATTTGTCATGTTACAAGTTATTGATCACATGATAAAGAGACGGAGTTTGTGTCTCTTTTAGAGCCCTGGCGAGGAGGTTGCATACAAAATATCTTCCCTACAACTTGCTCATTTTCAAATTAAAACTGCTGCTTAGTACTTCAGTACTGCTGCTTAAGGGTTAATAATATGCTAATGGAAGCAAGGTTCTAAGGAAGATCATGGCATGAGGGAGAATGCGCTTTGCTGCGAACTTTGATGTTATATGTACTTCCGTGAGCCCTTCACACGCGATGCTTATTAAAATATGATTACAAGAAGAAGGTTTGATATCGGACGACCTCTGTGAAAGATCTATTGCATCATTACTTCTATTAAAAATATGTTTTAATCAATTGTTTAATTTCCACTCCATGATCTGTTTAATATATTTACTCCATGATTACAATCAAATAATATAATCTGGTAACCAACATCATAAATGGCAATTATGAAGTCATTTTTTTCTGATTGAGTGATAAAGTCTGTATTCTGACATTTTATTTTTAATGTGAAAGCCATTTTTAAACAAAGATCTCCGGTTACGAATTAAATTTTCGTAAAATATGCATTCTTACTTTAATTAAGTACGTGAATGTTTGTATATTGCATCATTAATCTGCAATGTTGATCCCTGAACACAGTCTTGCATTCGAATGAACGAATTATGCATTATGACAAAAGCGACCAATTCAAACACTTCTTCAGGCAAACAAATTTAATGTGCAGCAGCACTGAATTGCAAGTTGTACATGGATAAAATCTGGGATTGAAAAGTTACTAAAAACACAAATATTCTTTTAATCAATTGCTCTCATTGACCATTACCTTCTCTTTACGATGAAGTGCTCTTAATTTTTACGATTTGATGACCTAACAAACATTCCATTACAAGTTCTAAAGAGTGAGGATTTAATTCTTGTAGGCAGCGTGGTGTATTTTTCTGAAACCTGAGAGCATCAGCAATCGTTTGCTACGAACACATATATTCTACATCAATAGAATACGTTAGCTGTTTTTTGGCGAAATTATGAAGTTCACCTTAAATGCTTCAGTGCAAAAATACGACTACATATCTGAGACAAGAGTCCAAATGTATCATTGAGCTCACTTCTTTACCACAGACGCGTAAATGAAATTACGTCTGCTCGGGTGCTCGCAGCTAGTGAGTGTGAGAAATTTAATTGATTTATTCATCGATCCCTATCCACTAAACAAACAATTCAATGAGTGAGAAAATCGATTGATAGTGGTTGTACCTCCGTTTGTATGCATCCTTGAATTAATAGACAAGGTAAGACGAGGTTCCATATCATATCCAACTTAAGTTAACACCGGAGTACGCGGAGAATGGGTAAACTTAATTGAAAAACAAAATACCGATCTCTACCTGATGTACAATTCAAAAACCCAGAAAATTGATAAGTTATTGGATAGTCGTCTTTGGTGAGTGGAAAGGCTATGGCGAAGTCGCATTTCAAGAGAACTTTTAATTTGTTGGACCTCCGTCAACCAGCATTTACACTTGCATGAATGGAATGGTTAAGGCAATCCGAGATCCCATCTCATGTGCAATATAAGTAAACTCCAGAGTATGTGAACAATGGGAGTCTCAATTGAAAAAATTAGATATCTTCCAGATATACAATTGAAAGCACGCCAGAAAATCGATAAGTTATTGGATGTCTGTCTGTGTACACACGTGGCCAAGTCCCATCTCAAGAATCAGCAATTTGTTGGACCTCCGTCAAGCGGCATATACACTTGAATAGAATGGCAACAGCAATCCCGAGGCCCCATCCCATGTGCAACTTGCAACTCTCGCGCGCATGCGCGGCGCGGGCGGTGGGGTGGGCGTGGGTGGAGCAGCGGTCTGCGCCGCCGGCGCCCACGGGCGGCCGGAGGGCGCGGCGCGGCGGGGCGACGTCGCCCCGGCGGCGCGCGCGCGCCTACTTCCAGCAGCCGGGCTGCGGGCTACTGCGGCGGCGCCGGCGGCGGCTGCTCCAGCGAATAGTGGCGCGACCGCTTCCAGAAGCTCTTGAAGAAGCCGCGCTTCTGCCGCCCGCCGCCTTCGCCGGACCCCTCAGCGCCACCTGCAACACGCGACACCGACGCTGTCGTTACAAGGCACCACAAGCACACATTCCCTCTGGGCAAGGAACACGTCGGAGCGCAAAGTTCCTAAATAGTACAGTCTACAAAAAATACAGTAAAATAATAATAATAATAATAATAACTATTATAATAAAAGTATTTAGTATAAGAATACAGTAATAATAAATACAGTAAAACCTATCACAGAACCCGACGGTACCATCAAAAATATTCCGTTTTGGCAGGTGTCCGTCTTATAGAGGGTGGCCAAAAATTCACCATTAATTTAAGAACAGCATTTTCGATACAATTGTGTTGGTGAAACAGAATTATGAAAATAAAGAATAATTTATCAATGAAAATATTGCATCCATTCCAAAGAGAGTGTGAATATTAAAAATTAATTTCCTTCTTAGCCAGGTAAACTTTAAGTTCTCTAAAAACCATTCCGTTTCCGCGTCAGACAGGTTTCGGGTTATAAAGGTCTTTTTCACTTATAAAATCTTTCCATTCTGAGGTTTGTTCAAGATGCCAGGTTTCCGTCTTGGCCAGGTTTTACTGCATATAAATTACTACAAACTTCTTTTATTTTAAATATACAGTTATTCCAGTGTTTTAAAGTATTAAAGGTCAGGAGTTTTTCACTTTAATATTTTTTGGCTAATATTGGACATTCGAGGTTTTCATTGCTTACTGGCTACTTGTGCTCCTTGCTTACTTCACTTGCCGATGTAGAGAGGGACGACGGTTCTGTTTTTTCGTAATGGATTTGTACATTGGTGGTGATACTAGAAAATATACCAGTTCCTTATTCTGTCGTCGGCAAGCTTGAAGTGGACATGGAATACTAACGTGGAACACAGAACACTAACGTAACAAACAATGAACTCGTGACTAAGGTGCCTACAGAAAAAAGTAAGTAATATGTTATATAAAAAGGACTAAAGAACAAAAAGTACGACGATAACTTAATTTTTAACGATAGCATTTAAAACATTGGCAGAAAGAAGCTGTGCCAACGTATGCTGTTACAGATCTACAACTCAACCTTCGTAGCCGGAGTGCCCATTTTTTCGCGCTCGACAAAGACGAAATAGCATTCAAATACTTAGTTCGATGTCGATCACTGCCCGCGGGTGGAGGGGGCTATGCGGCTCGGAATTCTAGGGATCTGCAACTCTACAGGGCTTTCTCGGTAGTTCCCTGCTGGGGGCGGCTGGAGCACTACATGTCACAAACACATTCGATCTATCTTTCTCCATCCAGGGACCACACTCATCCTACGAACTGACCGATGTACCGGCCCACTATTTTCATGTGATCTGAGAAACGCTTAAGATTCGAGATGCAGTTGCAAATGACGAGATCCCTGAGTAACACAGTGTTCCGTTTAAGATAACTGATATCAGCAATCCGGAAGTTCAGAAGTTTCAAAGCATACAATCGATATTTTTCATGTTGGTCCTACTTCTAGGGTAACATTTATTTTTAGATTCCAAATAGTACGAACCAAATATTCAACCACGACACATCGGGAATTCAACATGGCATGTGTTGGCAAAAGACCAGATGCAGAAACCGAAGAGCGACACTTCCAATCTTGCAACTCTCCGAAAGGTTGCCTGGTGACACTCCACACATTCTGCCCATATGTGTTTCGTTGTATCATCGATTCAACAAGACAATAGTTCAGAAACAAATTGAATGACCGTCGAAATTGCAATTGAGACCCAGCGATACAACATCCACATCTCCGATAAGAGTTGGACTTCGGAGCTGCCCTGTAGTGAGTGCGTAAGTGCGAATTGGCCTGCGCCACTGCTTGAGTGAGTGGACATCGGCAATCGGCGCGAGCCGCGTTTGCGATCGCATTGGCGGATGGCGCCAGTTCTTTCAGCGTTGGTACGTCGCTTCGATGGAGCTGGTGTGAAGGCAGCTGCGGCAGGAACCACCGCAGGCAGACAGATTCCTAAAAGTTATTTCTCCTCAATGATGTCTGGATAGAATTTCCTTCCTTATCTGACGTTAAATAATGAGCTGACGAGGAAAAGTATACGTCCTCCATTGAATTGTACATGTGAAATCTGAATTCGTAATTAAATGACAATAAATAAAGAGGTACCATCTGAAATCCAGCCGACGATCTGTCATTTTTCTGGACGTTTTCTTCCAATATCAAACATTCATGCCGCCACAATCAGACTACTTGATATATGGTACTTATCATAAAGTCGAAACGAGTGATACTACAATAGCACATAACTTTCTCGCGTTATTTGTAACAGCTATGGAATATTAGACTCTACAAAAGTGAATCCAAGCAGCAAAATGTTTTTTTCACTGATATTCGAACCAGAGTTGGCATGCCAGGCACGGAAAGACCGGAAAATAGTTTTCGTTATTTCCTTAAACATTATCGCGTTTATATCGCTTCTAAAACGTATCTAATTCCAGATAAATTATTCAATGTACAATTTCACCGTTCAATTTCATTGCGTATCGTACTGACAGACGTCACGTATATCGTCAGGCCTACATTTTATCGAAAAACATTAAACAACCAACCAATTTGGGAAAATATCATCTGAACAGTTCAGGTGCTAGACCATAGACAGACGGACGAACAGACAGGGAAACAAGTTGCCATCAATCGATTTTTCGGTATCAAGAATCCCAAAACATGAATTCTGACTACACAACGGGTTAAAAGTAATTTTCTTCATGTAGGAACCAGATTTACCTAGTTTTTTTTACTAGGGTCCCACAATATAATTTTTTCTGTCGAAAAATCGCAGATCGCCGCCCGATAACAATGTTTTTTCTTTACTACTTACGTAGTAAGTAGACATTTAGAAGAATTGAGGAAATGAAAGGAAACAACAAAAAACGAAAAAAAAACAACTCTTTTGCATGTTTGATCTTCCACATACAAAATCGGTCAACTTCATGACTTGATCTACCGAAAAATGCGAAAATTTGCGATATTTGAAAACCATTAGGTTTCTGGAGAGAGGCACTTCTTTGTTTTGTTGTAGGCGACCGGGGCCGAGCTAAGTGGCTCAGGGCATAACGCACCGACTTTGTACGGGTTCAATTCCCCTGCCGGCCATCCTGACCGGAGTTTTCGTGGTTTCCCTACAGTCATCCAGGCGAATGCTGGGCTAGTTCTACTTAGAGGACAGCAAAACCGGCGTTGCTGGATGAATTCGTTAACTATCAAGTCCCGAGGTTAAACGAATTCGAATCATCACGGGATCATGGTTAGGAGGCCGACTAGGACCTCCGGTATTTAGACGTGTCGCGGCAAATTGCCCTTCACGGAAATATAATGTCTAAATACAAATACAAAAATCGCCTGGGAACGTCTCAAATTCAAAATATCATGGAATTCTTGTTACTGAAGATACGAGTACCCACTCGCAACAGGATCTTTGGGAGAAATCGGGTGCCCTAGTAGAAAAGTGAATTTTTCAAATGGAAATGGAAACAAACATCGTATTTTCTCTTAATGTGTTATAGTACGTTAACGGAAATATAATTCAAATTGTCTAGATGACTTTACCTGACGAGAAATGTTACATTTAACACTTAATGTTAACACGTGGATTTAATTTATGAAATATCAGCACAACTGTCGGACATGGAGGGAGGCTCCCCGGCTGTGTTTATTTCGTAACGGGGCGGGAGACGTAGGGGGCGAGTGCGGTCGGCGAGCGCGGGCGGAAGGACGGCGGGGGCCGATAGGCGCGTCCGGTCGCGCGCCCGCAGCCTTCCTCTCCTTGCCGATAGGGCGACGCCAACTGGCCCCAGCGCTTGGCGAAGTACGGCGCGAAGCAGACAGCAAATTGCTTCAAAAATGGCACATTCGTTTGAGCTCTTCATACGACTTGCTTCATCAATACATGTTGAATGCGTGCATTTGCAATGGTATACCTTCCTAATCGGACTCCCTTCCTGCGGAAACAACTGACTTGAAGTTGCAAAACGACCCCTATAGAAACTGGAGGAATTATTATGGCTGTGCTGGGTAAGTCGTCAGTTGGTCGATTGGTGGAATCTCATCGCTGCATTTTTGAACGTCTGCGCCTGGACAAGATGAACTGTGCCCCTGCCCCAGGCGCGATTCCGGCCGCGTCAACTGCTAAGCATCAGTCCCATAAACGCAGTGCACTTTTTTTTTTCGGGAGGTGACGACGGTCTTCCCTTGCTGAATTGCGAGATCCGGATCCGACCTACCGTCGGCTAGCGGGGTTTTTCCTGTCAGGTATCTCCCACCAGCAGGGCACCGCCCCAGCAGGGACAAGATCTAAGCTCTCGACCTGTCTCCTGGCATGCTAGTGTAAGTGGGCGTATGTAAGGGATGAGGGTAGGACAAAGAAGGAAAGATCGCGCGCGGTCCGTGGACCGTTTGTTAGGGCATTCGCCCTGTTCTGATCGGAAAACTACTGATCAGAGCAGCTGGCCGCTAGAATTCTCCTCCAGAGAGCGACTGAATTCGACCTAGCTGACAAGCCAGTGTCGAACCCTAGGACCTCCCGGTCAGAAGCACTGCAGTGATGTCAGTCGATGCCTCTCCCCTGGTCCTGCTTTGCGGAGTCGCGTGGAGAGAGGAGCGAGGGCGCCGGCAGCGGGGAGCCCCAGCCTCCCGAGCGAGCGGCGAAAGCCCCCCACACCCACCCCACCCCCAGCCCTGCTCCGTGCGGCGCCCGCGGCGGCCACCGACCCCGATCGTCCGCCGCGGCCGCCGCTCAGTCGGCCAGTGGGCCGCCGCGCCGCCTCTCTACTCCAGCGGCGCGCGCGAGGCACCGCGGCAGGGATGCGACATCGATGGCGACGTCAAACGCAAAACATCGGCGTATTTATAAAATAGTTGATATATTAAACAATGATTTTTTGAAGCCGATAATTTTCAACAGTAATGTTAAAAAATTTTGATAAATCCTCAAATATGTTTGAACATTGATGTTCGATGTTTTTACGGGGTCGGTATTTTTTTTCA